CTACAACTAAGCCAAAAATGTTCACCGTTCACGTAGTACTCTCCATGCCTTGGAATCATGAAGGACAATACAAAAGTAAAAAGAAAATGATTCAGGATTGATCCTTTCTTATTATTATTTTTTATATAATTTTATATATTATTTAAAATATATAATATTAAATATATTTACATATTTAATAATATTTATAAATTATATAAAAAATTATTCTTATGCTACTGCTCAAAGTAAAAACCTCATAAAGGGAATTTTTTAAGGAGAATAGTTAGCTTCTTTCGTTTAAAAAAAAAAAATCCAAATTGGGTTTACATCTATACATTGTTGCATACACAAGTGAAAAGTTCTCAATTAAATTGGCCAGGAATCAAGAATTAACAGGACATATACTGTTACCATAATCAAACTTAAGACACCAAGTTAATCACTTGAATAATGGGCCAACTAACATGCTTCGGATCCTTAGTTTTCTGCTGGAAATCTCTCTGGTTCCTCTCTTGCCAAATCATATATACAGTGCAAGCCAAAGCCAGTTGAATTTTACTTGCTCTTACGCTCCTGCCCCTACAAGTTTCTAAAATAAATTTGGCTTCTTCATTCCATGGATGTGGTCTTCTGGTGACACCAAGTTGGTGCAGAACAGCGTTCCATACCATTCTGCTAAATGGACACGCAAAAACCAATGCAAATGTGTCTCCTCCTCATATACTCATTTTAGGTCTTTGCATTGCAATTTTTTGTGATTAACTGCAGTAAATGCACTCTGTCGCTTTGCAATTTCTGCGGATGAATATAACATAAATTATCCATCCACAAACTCACGAAAACACATACTAAAGGCTCTAATGGAGTGGCGTCCCGCTTCATGTTCTTGGGATCCTTCTGGCAATGCCCGTCCCTTTCCCAATCCCATTTTGGTTTTACAACTACTTAAAGATTTTCTTTTTCTTCCTAAATAAGGCCAATGTCAGTTTGCATTCTTGTAGGAATTGAGAGTTTTCGTTGATGTAGTTGCTGGTATTTTGTAGAAAAAGGAACAAGAAATGGAGATGCAGACTGGCTCGTTGCTTGGAGCTCAGGTTCTGGTTTTTTTCTCTCTTGTATGTCATTCATCACAGATTTGTATTGTAGAGATTATAAATCAAAAGCAATCCAGTGTCAACAACCATACATTGATGATATACAAATACAAAATATCTAAAGACATGGTTCCTTGATTCAAGGAACCATACTAATAAAACATAAAAAAAAAAAAAAAAAAAAAAAAAAAAAAAAAAGAAAAAAAGAAGAAAGAACAACTATACTAAAAAAAAATACAACCAAACACTAACATAGAGTTATATTGCAAATGCCATTCTACCTTTGAGCATTTAACAGTTTTGCTGAGCAAGAGCATGAAAAGCTAAAAAAGCCAGAAGCTACCTTTACTTGGAAGTCACATGTAGGTATATAGTGATAAAAGAACTGCCTATATTATTTACAATTTTCATTCATGGAAACTCGGGGTTTATGTTGGATGAACCTTGAGGCTTTAAACTATATGGGAAAGGACATGGAGGAGCAGGGACAAGGAGAGCACCTTCAAGCATCATGGTAACTGTTCTCATTTTAGGCCTTTGTGATGGCTCATCTTGCACACACCACATTGCCACCTTCACCAGCATCTCCATCCTCCCCATATCATTTCTTGCTTCTTCATCATTTTCCACCAACTTCCCCAGATTCCCTTGGCTGTAGCAGTTGTATGCCCATTCTGTCAGGATTGCTGCCTCCTCCATCTCAAGCTCAACACATCTTCTGCAACAAATGATCTCTAGCAACATAACTCCAAAGCTATACACATCTACCTTCACCGTGATAGGGGTACTCCTGAACCACTCTGGCGCCGCATACCCTTTCGTCCCCCTGATGCCTGTCAGCGTTTGGCTCTTGCTGTTAATCAAAAGTTTTGCCAATCCAAAATCTGAGATTTTTGCTGTGAAAGAGTCATCCAGGAGAATGTTCTGAGGCTTTATGTCACAGTGAATGATCTGAGTGCTGCATTCTTCATGCAGATATGTTAGTCCTCTGGCAATTCCGGATGCAATCTGTAATCTCTGTTTCCAGCTAGGCCTCAGAACTCCAAATAGGAAGCTCGCCAGAGATCCGTTCTGCATCAACTCATACACAAGAAGCCGGTTCTCCTCCTCATTGCAGTATCCAAGCAATCTGACCAGATTCTGGTGGTGAGTATGTCCAATCACCTTCACTTCCGTCTTGAACTCCTTCTTCCCTTCCTGAATAACCTTTTCTAGTTTCTTGACGGCAACATAATTCCTGGACAGTTCTCCTTTATAAACAGTTCCAAAGGCACCCTTTCCCAGTTCTTCCTTGAATCCTTTTGTGGCATCTTCAAGTTCTTTGTATG